TATAAAACTTTTGCTTTGTTTTCTATTGTTAATTTATATACATTTTTGTTTTAAGAAGTTGCTAAACATTTTCGTCTAGCACTGTACAGTTCTAGCCGATCTCTTAACAGAAGAGCGCCCATAGAGAGCTCTGCTCGTTCAAGCTTGTTCCGACTATTTCTGTCTCGCTGACGCCTAGTGTGTATTCTTTCTATCTTCGCGCAGATTTCTTCAAGGTCACAATTCAAACAAATTGAAATGGGCTGTACTCCGTTTTCTTTAATAGTGTCCGCTGCAATTCCTACCTGACATCTCTTTTCTACGTTTACGATATTCTCTCCCTACAACTTCTGTAGTGAGTAAAAGCAGGCGTTCTGTTAGCAACCGCTCTAGTCTAGTTAGTAAGTTGAAAAAAGAAAATAAATGCCACAGTTTTATTACGGACTATGCCAATTTTGAGCGTCCCAACTATAGGCGACTTACCCGCCGCTGATTATTTCGTAAACAGATGGATCCAAGTAGTCTAGATCGTAAAACATGCTTTTAAACCGTTTACGTAGATTTAAGTATTTTAATAAAACCTGTTGAGCCATTGGTATGCTGTATTTCTTCACTCTTAGAAATCTCAACAAAAACGCATCATCTACAAAATAGAAACCATTTTTTAGGAATAATTTTTTTTCGTCGTTATTTTCATGATTGTTAGGAATTTAAAAAACCCTACAAAATTCTATTTATTGATAATTTAGCGACTTTCAAAAAGTTTTTAATCAATCTTAATTTTGGAGAGACTACTTAATTCAATACAAATTGTTGTTATTGTAGGCACGCACCCACTAAGCAATTATCGATGTTTTTGTTCTTTTTTATCCATTCCTTTAGTTGTATAAGCGACTGTTCCTTTGTCGATTTCGTCTCTCTAAGATCCTTTTCTGCAATTTTGTCGATATTGCTTCTTAAGTCTGTGTAATCCTCATCTTTTCCTGTTTTATCCTTATTTAAAGTAGATTTCCATGGAAATGAGGAGATTATGAGGCTAGTGGTCGTCATGACTCTACAATAGGACGTTATTGTTTTAATATTGTCAGAAACGGATTCTGTATACATTTTAGAATAGCATGAACTCTAAAAAGAATTACAAAGACATTTTTAAAACACTTAATTTTTTTGAATCTCATTGTAACTCATGTTTCATTCGGCCACTATTTATTTGTAACCAATTTATAAATCTCTTTCGTCATTAAATTCTCCATACATTTTTGAGTAACTTGAACTCCAAAAAGGATTACAAGGACATTTTTGAAACACTTAAATTTTAGGAGCGCATTTTTAAATCTCATTGTAACTCACACGTTTAAGTTCAACGCTATAGCTTATTTATCTGTATCCAAATTTTAAATTTTCTTTTATCCTTAAATTCTGCATACTTTTTTTGAGTAAGTTGAACTCTAAGAATGATTACAAAAACATTTTAAAAACACTTAAATTTTAAGAGCGCATTTTTTAAATCATATTGTAACTCATAGGTATTATGTTTAATTTGAACTTGTACCATAATATATTCATCTGTATCCGAATTTTAATTCCGCTGGTGATATTAGCCTCTAAGTACATATAAAAATAATTTGCAATAAATTAGTGAACATTTGAATTTTAGGAACGCTTTCTCGTATTTCACATGGATCTAATGTTTTGACGACAACCTGTAGATTTCTGTTATAGATTCGCCTGTCCCATAATATTCTGCAGGAAAAATTTATGTAATTATCGCAGACTTAATCTTGAAAGTACTTAACATTAACGAGCGTTTTTTTAATTAATCAAAATTGCAAAAAAAATCGAGACACAGTTTCGAAACTCATTCAAAGGTCGTGTAACCAATGCGGAAGTAGAGATTGATACAGTGAATCATGTACCTGTCAATATAACGCTTAATCACACGCACATTACGTCTGTCTGACATTTGTTTATGTAATACGTATATCTGGCATAATTGCAAAATTATGCACGGCGTGGCATGCAGAATAACAATAAGAAGAATAAGGTCTTCTTCATGGTTCGTACCACATAATAATACACAGTTTCTGTATGTATGGGTATTTAACATTACAGGATATGTATCTTTTACAGTCGGACAGAAGACCGAGTGCTGGCATACGGAAACGAAAACGTTTCATAATAATGCCATTGGTAAACATGCACAGGCTTGGGAATGTTACGCAATTTGAGGAAGCATGACAAGAACTAAATGCTGTTTATAAAAAGAATATAATAAAACGGTTTTGTGAATTGCGAAAAAATTGTTGTGTCGCATGTGACTCCTTTTCCAAGTGGAGCAGAGAGATAACAAAGCTGTTATAAAATACCTTAAGCAGATAGGAAAAGAATATTTTTAATTAAACAAAAGTATAGCTATTAGTGATAAAAATTACTATGTAATCATAATTTTTTATTACTTAGAAAAAGTATCAAGTATTTGAGAGACAAAACGAACCTTATGTGAAAAAATATGTAATTGCTTTAGTGGTACAAATTCATCAAAAAACATGATTTTTTTTTTGGTTTTTAAATTGAATTAAAACTCGAAGTCTTGCTTTTGTTTTTTTTTTAAGACATAGGGTTTTTTTTCTTTTCAATATAACTAATAACTAGCTAACAAATATAATTCGATTCAAGTCTTCCAATAAATATTCTTAAATACAAAAAGAAAATTGGGTGCAGTCGAATTAGAAGTTGAGTGAAAGATTTTTATCTAACTTGACCACTTACTATATACGTAACCTTTTCTTTAGTGTATTTTTGTAAAAATTATCATGTAATTTACCTTCAGCTGACTTTTATAAATTGTTCAAATTCCCGGCAATGAAAACCCTCGCTAATCTTGTTAATTTTTAGAGCAACTGTGTTACCATTTAATCGTCCAGCAACTTTTTTTTATTTGATTTTGATATTCTAAAACAATTTATTGGTTTAAAACAATCGTTGCAAAAACGCATACGTTATATCGAAAGGAATATACAAGGTGTTTCAAGAAATAGCGTCACGAATTATGTATTTAGTTCATGTTTTTATTTAGTTTTTGTTTACAATCGTTTTATTTTCACGAATTTTAAAGGATTCGCTTTTCAATTTTTTTGAGTCATCAATCTAATCCTATAATCCTGTATAATAATTAATTTCTTATTTAATACACAAAATAATGTCTTTTGGTGTAACCTTTGAGTTCTACATTTACCATATACGTATGTATATCAGTAGAAATCAGTTATTATAAAACAATTTGTTAGCAACAATTCCGTTTGTGGCTAACGGTCTAATGCATTATTTATTGGCTAAAGTATTGCCCTACTATGTACTATATTTTTGCTGTACATGTATTAATTAAATAGTAGGTATCTGTAATAGAACAGCCCAATTATATAACGAACTTTTACTCGTTTATTATTAAGCAACATGTCATGCTAACTTCTAATAATTAAAATAAATAGATTTCTGCGGGAAATGTGTACATATATACCATAAAAGGTAGATCAGATGGCTTCAATTTTAAATATTAACGTGAAAATTCATTTTCGAATTTTTATCCACTACAAACTACCTCTGGTTAATGAGGGAAAATTTTTGCGTTGATGTCACACCCCACCATAGTTTGTAGTGGATAAAAATTCGAAAATGGATTTTCACATTAATATTTCGTATTAACCACTATTAAAAATTAAAAAGTGCTTAATTTGATATTTTTAATTAACTAAATTATTAAATTAGTAAATTCCAGAAGAACGGGAAATACAGATGGAAATATAAACTTCGTAATTACTTAATTAACTGTGTTACAAAAATGTATAAAGTGAAACCTTCAAGAGGCGTCTGTCCACACCTCTCTTTTACTAATTCCACGATACCATGGTACCAGAGGTTTTCTTGTTTCTTTTTACGAATTTGCGTAATTATTAAGTAATCTTTGCACAACTACACGGTACTGCCGCTACTACAATTACTACCGAAGAAATTGTTTGTCATCAGACAAAGTGAAAAGTAACTGTCTGGGGAACTTAAATGTATCTGTGTGATGAAAATTGTTGACCTACCTACATACTTTTCTTCCGATAAAATAAACTCAAAATAAATTACAGAATAGAGCCCTAATCATAACATTTTATTAGTTATTTAACATCAAGGTTTAAGTGTTTTTAATCTTATATATAAAGNGAATCGGACCAATCATGAGAGACTGTGGACTGTTACTTCTACTCCCGGAGCGAATGTCGTGAAGGCGAGATCTGCAGATTCCGTCATGATCCTGCGAAACGGAAAGTGAAAATGTTTCGGAACGAAACATCCTTAAGGAGGGGGCAGTGTAGCGAGCACGAGTGTGTTTGTGTGCGATCGGGCACACTTGTGCGTGAACGGCTTATCGATTCGCCGCCTAGGCGCGGGCGCCTTTCTTCATGTGCGCCGTATTTATAAATATGCGTGTCGTACCTGCGTTCTGGAAAAACAGTTGAACAGTTCAAAGAAAAAAAGAAACTGTCCGGATGTTTCCAGAAGGTTACCGAAAGTAAACAAAAGAGTATTTAAAGGAAGAGACCATCTCCGAGAAAAAAGAAATAAATTGACAGTTGCAGAAGTGAATCGAGAAATAAATTGACAGTGATAACAGTGAAATAAATAGCCCAGTGAATAGTGATATATCAACAGTAGTGTAAATAAATAGAGTAATTCATCAACTAAGTGTAGCAATAATTTAATAGCGTTTTTAAGTTGTTTAATAATTAGTGTAAATCGTTTTTGTCGTTATTAGTCTTAGAAGTTAATTTTTTTTAAACCCACGAACACTACAATATTAATCTTGCATTGCAAAAACCTAACTTTATATGTACGTAGGTCGCTGGACTCGACATTTGTAAGGCAACTTTAGATCAACTCGATAAAAAATTGACAAATTCGAAGGGAAAGTTCTGGTCTCTTGCTGTCGACATAACAAACGAATCTGAAGTAGTTGACGGTTTCGAATGGATCAAGGAACACTTAGGTCCTGTACATATCCTAGTTAATTGTGCCGGAATCGCCAGGGATAATGATCTCATCGATGGCGATGCCCAAATGTGGAAGGATGTTTTGGACACGAACGTTTTCGGCTTGTGTTTGGCCACGAGAGAAGCTGTCAAGCACATGACGAGCAATGAGATCAAAGGTCATGTCATACACATAAACAGCATTTCCGGGCATACTGTTCTGCCCTATTCAAGGACCAACGTCTATTGCGCTTCTAAATATGCCGTAACTGCACTGACAGAAACTTTGAGACGCGAAATTGTCCTTAAAGGTCTTGGAATCAAGGTGACCGTAAGTCTGGTTGACAACGTAACACTTACGATCCCATCAGAACCTTTTTTCTTTTAGAGTATTAGTCCAGGACTTGTGTCAACCAATCTGTATGAGTCCGCAGGTTTTCATCCAAAAGCTATCAAAGCTATCGGCAACCGGCCTAGTCTTTATCCCAAGGATATAGCAGACGGCGTTTTGTACGTCCTCGGCACCCCTCCTCATGTTCAAGTAAACCATACAATTATCTGAACTTGTTGCTAGCACAAGACGCACAGAAAGTCAAAATTAAACTATATACAAAATATTAATAATAAACAATTGGAAATTATTTTCACAATATATGTATATATAAGATAAAGAAATTAAATAATTATAAATCACTTACCCTAAATTAACACACAAAAAGGATGTACTGTGGTATCAAAAGTTGTTTCAAGACTCCAACTTTTACGAGAACTCGAAGGTTTTCCCACCTTTCTTTTCCGGCCGAAGAAAGATGAAATAGAAGGGGACAAAATTGTTTAACAGTTAAATTATTTCTTCGGTTTGTTTACTGTTTATCATAATAAGCAAAATTGTTTGGAAAGTATCTACCTACCAATAACATAAATATAGGAAATAACGCAGGTACTTACAACCTAATTGATGCATTATTATTATTTACAAATGTAATTAATTATTTTTGTTTTTATTTTCTTTTGTAATCATTCCACAGCATTGACCTTAAATGCTTTAGCATGTATGACATCCTCACATGTTTTAATAATTGCATTATAAATTAATATACTTAAAGGAAAAAAATAGAATAAGTATAAGTTTAAAAAACTATTAAACACTTTAAAATTTGTAGATGTTACAATTAATAATCTTATGTGTTACTTGGTTAGCTTGTAAACTAGCTGTTTGTTGGATAGTATATAAACTGTGAGGTTATAAGGTTACGGTAGGAAAGACAACACTTACGAACATACATTTGGACAGTTTATATACCATCCAGATGGTTTAAAAGTGAAGATGATTAGGTAAAGAGTTCTAACACTACAAAACATACTAGATTAGTGTTTAGTATTATCTCATATAATAAATCGTTTTTAAAATATTTTGCTCTATTATGTAGGTGCTATCTATCTAGCTAACAACATCAAACGTGTTGTCAAAGATTATATTGAAAATTGTGATGATAGTAACTTTTCCCAGTAGACACGTACAATGCTACAACTAAGTACTTGGTTTAAGTTAACTCACCAAAAAGTCAGAAAAGTAGATTTATTCTACTCAGACTCTTTGAAAAAGGCAAATGTTAAAACGTTTTCTTAACAAAAATTGAAATGGACCGTTGGGTTGGAAAAGTAGCCGTTGTAACAGGTGCCGGCTCTGGTATAGGGGCCGCTATAACCGAAAAATTGGTTGAACATGGTATTAATGTAAGTACCAACAAATTAAGCTCAAATAAGTACAGGTAACTACCCCTTTACACGAATGAAATTCATAATGTAGCGAGCACGAGCGTGTTTGTGTGCGATCGGGCACACGTGTGCGTGAACGGCTTATCGATTCGCCGACTAGTCGCGAGCGCCTTTCTTCGTGTGCGCCGTATTTGTAAATGTGTGTGTCGTACAAGCAGTTAAACAGTTCGAAGAAAAACTAAACGATCCGGATGTTTCTAGAGGGTTCCAGAAAGTAAACAAAAGTGTATTTAAAGGAAGAGACGATCGCCGATAAAAAGGTAGAAATAAATTGACCGTTGCAGAAGTGAATCGAGAAATAAATTGACAGTGATAGCAGTGCAATAAATAGCGCAGTGAATAGTGATATATCAACAGTAGTGTAAATAAATAGAATAATTCATAACCTAAATTTACTAATAATTTAATAGTGTTTTTAAGTTCTTCAATAATTACTGTAAATAAATAGTTTTTGTCGTTATCAGTATTAGANAAATGGAAGCGGTACTGACAGATTAGTACTGTATGAAAATAAATAAAAGTAAAACTAAAATACTGATATGCAAGGGAAGAAAAAGTAGGGAAAGAGCAATTGTAAAGATAGGAGACGAAAAATTAGAAGAAGTGGCTAATTTTAGGTATCTAGGAAGTCAGATAAGTCAGGACTGAAGGAGTAGTAGGGATATAAAGCAGAGGATAGCGCAGGGTCGTGTCGCCTTTAATACTAAGAAGTCACTTCTATGCTCGCGAACGGTTAATTTAAAGATTCGAAAAAGATTGTTAAAGGTGTATGTTTGGAGCTTGACGCTGTACGGGTGCGAAACATGGACAGTGGGCGCGGCGGAAAAGGTTAGAAGCGCTCGAAATGTGGTTTTACAGGAGAATGATGAGGATACCGTGGATAGAGAAAGTAGAAATGAAGAGATATTAGAAAGAATAAGAGAAAACAGTACTCTTCGAAGTCAATAAAAAATAAGAGAGATAGGTTGGTAGGGCATCATCTCCGTCATGAAGGTTTAGTCAGAGACATATTAGAGGCAGAAACAGGAGTTAGGAGGGGTAGAGGTAGACATAGATTAGATTACTGTTCGCAAATAGTTAAGGATGTGGGATCTTCTAGTTTTAGGAAATGCGAAGATTAACTTAGGATAGGAAGGATTGGAAGTGTGTGTCCAACCAGACTTAGGACTGACGACCTTTTAATGATGATAGGTTTACCTACCTTTAGTCGTTGTTGAACTTTGGGACTTATTCGGGTCATTGCGAAGTCGTAAACATATTTTACAGTCGAAGGCATGTTAATGATGTGAATTTCTTTGTGTCTCATGGGGTATGATTGCTGGAAAATATGAAAAATAAAAGCCGTTTGATTTTTTTACCATTTAAATGTCGGAATTTCAAACAAAATCATTTAATATGAAATTAGATTAGAAACCGATACGTTATTTGACCTTTAGACATCGCCTTTTTTTGGATTTTGTCCATTACTCTTTTTACAATTGATTTCTATTACACCCTTCTTAGTAATATGTCGATTTATCATCATACCTCTCCCCATTTAAGTAGGGTTGCAAATTCGGTAATGGACCACATGGTAATATGAGACGCATTGATTCCATTGCCGTCTCCGACGTGTGTAAAACCCAAAATTTGAGTCTCGTCTTCGTCCAATAACGTTTCGTACGTGATTGCGTGAACCCTCGCCATGTCCCTGCTGTTAAACTTGTGCGCATCAAAGTGCCCTGTGGTCAGAATCATTATTTTTTATTTTGTGTATTTTTCATTTTTGTCTATTTACTCACTTATCGCGTACATTATTACCCTGCGTCCGTTAGAATCCCGGAAGGGACTGGGGAGAATGTATCTGGAACATTTTGGGGGTAAGTGAGTGTTAATTACAATGATAATTGCTTAGACCTAAGTATAGTTGAGATGATTAAAATTGATATCGTCCGAGATAAATTATATGTGAAAATGGACGTATCTCAATCAGTAGCGGTTTGTGGTTTCAAAAAGAAGAATTGCAAACAATCGAGAAGAACTAAACCTACAATTAGGTATAGTTGGGACTATCAAAATTGGCAAAGTCCGAAATAAATTATCTGTTAGAATGAACGTATCTTCTTTCTTGTTTCCGCTTGGGACTGTAGTCATTAACTGCGTTTTGAACACGCCCTTGTCAAGTTAGGAAATGCTTCATGAGTAGTACAGACAAAATGATAAAAGATAACCGAATAACAGTAAGCGATGCAGCGGTTAAAGGTTGCTTTGGTACACAAAATATTAGGGTTGGCTTTGTAACTGCCTGGTTGGAATTGTATCTTTAAACGAGCGTCTTTGCTTTGTTAAATTCCTGAGAATGTTGAACTTTCTTTAAAGTCCGATATTGACAACATTCTCAAATTCTGCTTGTCTGCATCTCTTTCTGTTACACAGCAATTGGTGTAATGTTACTGTTCGTTTCAAGAAGTTGGAGATATGCCCTTTCCCTTTATTAGGATGCGCCGTAGCATAATTCCAAATTCAATTATATTTGTCTGCGTAGCTCATTTCTTCACCGATCATCGAGCGAGAGCTAGACAAAAGTGTACAGTGTTTACATTATTGCTACCTCTTTTAGGAATAACAAGAAATGAGACATACAATGCATTAGCATATGGTAAAAGCAAATTTTTAATTATTGATTATGTTATTCCTTATTTAAAAGCAAATTTAAAGCTATGGGGCATTTTGGAGATGCTGTACAGGAATACCTACTGAATGGGGATAAAGTGCCTGATCCTACTATAAGTAAGGAATGCTTTCAAATGGAAATTAATGTTATAGTTGACAGTTTGATAGCTCATTTACCAAATGTAAGGGACCCAAAGGAACATTTACTAGCTTTAGCATCTATTTTGCCTATTGCAAGTGGAGGAAATGCTTACCAATACATGCAGAAATTATTACCTTTGGTCTTAATTGTATGCAAGTAATTGTTAAGAAGGAAGTGCAAAAATTTCAGTATTAGTAATGATATATTTTAGGAAACAAAAAGAATTGTTTGCAGCTGTGCAGTGTTTGAGCTCCATCATTGAAATATTATTACCAACTAATGGGTTTATTTTAGAACCACATTTGAATTCTTTAATTGGGGTGTTGGTTGATTTAGTGCAACCTGAACAGGATTATGCTCAACCTCAATTAGTTCGTGCACACAATGAAGCTTTAAGATGTTATGAAAATCTGAGCAAACATTTTACTGATTGTTGTGTAGATCATTTGTTTAAGTTGTTGAAATACCCAACTAATGATAAAAATAGATTGAAGTCATTAATAATATTCAACCATATTATTAATTCAGTTGACACTGTGAAGAATAAAATAGGTAACTTACTACAGGTACGTATTTTTTAATTGTCTGCATATGATGCACATTGATATTCAAGTTTTTGTTTTTTGGATTATCTAATAAAGTTTGAATGATACAATAGATAATTAATCAGATGTGTATTATTTTCAGATTTTAAACGATTTCCTGGATAATTCCAGCATAGCAGTGAAAAAAATGCTCCTTCGTACCATAGTTACTTTATCCTGCAAGAATTTATTACCAAAGGATGCTCAGTTGCATTATTGTAACTTCATGTTGCGCATGTGTGATTGTTTCACACATGAAAAGTTGACAGCCAGTCAAGAAATAAACTCTTTGAAAGAAACTGCACAGAACACACTATACTTNAAAGTAGATTTCCATGGAAATGAGGAGATTATGAGGCTAGTGGTCGTCATGACTCTACAATAGGACGTTATTGTTTTAATATTGTCAGAAACGGATTCTGTATACATTTTAGAATAGCATGAACTCTAAAAAGAATTACAAAGACATTTTTAAAACACTTAATTTTTTTGAATCTCATTGTAACTCATGTTTCATTCGGCCACTATTTATTTGTAACCAATTTATAAATCTCTTTCGTCATTAAATTCTCCATACATTTTTGAGTAACTTGAACTCCAAAAAGGATTACAAGGACATTTTTGAAACACTTAAATTTTAGGAGCGCATTTTTAAATCTCATTGTAACTCACACGTTTAAGTTCAACGCTATAGCTTATTTATCTGTATCCAAATTTTAAATTTTCTTTTATCCTTAAATTCTGCATACTTTTTTTGAGTAAGTTGAACTCTAAGAATGATTACAAAAACATTTTAAAAACACTTAAATTTTAAGAGCGCATTTTTTAAATCATATTGTAACTCATAGGTATTATGTTTAATTTGAACTTGTACCATAATATATTCATCTGTATCCGAATTTTAATTCCGCTGGTGATATTAGCCTCTAAGTACATATAAAAATAATTTGCAATAAATTAGTGAACATTTGAATTTTAGGAACGCTTTCTCGTATTTCACATGGATCTAATGTTTTGACGACAACCTGTAGATTTCTGTTATAGATTCGCCTGTCCCATAATATTCTGCAGGAAAAATTTATGTAATTATCGCAGACTTAATCTTGAAAGTACTTAACATTAACGAGCGTTTTTTTAATTAATCAAAATTGCAAAAAAAATCGAGACACAGTTTCGAAACTCATTCAAAGGTCGTGTAACCAATGCGGAAGTAGAGATTGATACAGTGAATCATGTACCTGTCAATATAACGCTTAATCACACGCACATTACGTCTGTCTGACATTTGTTTATGTAATACGTATATCTGGCATAATTGCAAAATTATGCACGGCGTGGCATGCAGAATAACAATAAGAAGAATAAGGTCTTCTTCATGGTTCGTACCACATAATAATACACAGTTTCTGTATGTATGGGTATTTAACATTACAGGATATGTATCTTTTACAGTCGGACAGAAGACCGAGTGCTGGCATACGGAAACGAAAACGTTTCATAATAATGCCATTGGTAAACATGCACAGGCTTGGGAATGTTACGCAATTTGAGGAAGCATGACAAGAACTAAATGCTGTTTATAAAAAGAATATAATAAAACGGTTTTGTGAATTGCGAAAAAATTGTTGTGTCGCATGTGACTCCTTTTCCAAGTGGAGCAGAGAGATAACAAAGCTGTTATAAAATACCTTAAGCAGATAGGAAAAGAATATTTTTAATTAAACAAAAGTATAGCTATTAGTGATAAAAATTACTATGTAATCATAATTTTTTATTACTTAGAAAAAGTATCAAGTATTTGAGAGACAAAACGAACCTTATGTGAAAAAATATGTAATTGCTTTAGTGGTACAAATTCATCAAAAAACATGATTTTTTTTTTGGTTTTTAAATTGAATTAAAACTCGAAGTCTTGCTTTTGTTTTTTTTTTAAGACATAGGGTTTTTTTTCTTTTCAATATAACTAATAACTAGCTAACAAATATAATTCGATTCAAGTCTTCCAATAAATATTCTTAAATACAAAAAGAAAATTGGGTGCAGTCGAATTAGAAGTTGAGTGAAAGATTTTTATCTAACTTGACCACTTACTATATACGTAACCTTTTCTTTAGTGTATTTTTGTAAAAATTATCATGTAATTTACCTTCAGCTGACTTTTATAAATTGTTCAAATTCCCGGCAATGAAAACCCTCGCTAATCTTGTTAATTTTTAGAGCAACTGTGTTACCATTTAATCGTCCAGCAACTTTTTTTTATTTGATTTTGATATTCTAAAACAATTTATTGGTTTAAAACAATCGTTGCAAAAACGCATACGTTATATCGAAAGGAATATACAAGGTGTTTCAAGAAATAGCGTCACGAATTATGTATTTAGTTCATGTTTTTATTTAGTTTTTGTTTACAATCGTTTTATTTTCACGAATTTTAAAGGATTCGCTTTTCAATTTTTTTGAGTCATCAATCTAATCCTATAATCCTGTATAATAATTAATTTCTTATTTAATACACAAAATAATGTCTTTTGGTGTAACCTTTGAGTTCTACATTTACCATATACGTATGTATATCAGTAGAAATCAGTTATTATAAAACAATTTGTTAGCAACAATTCCGTTTGTGGCTAACGGTCTAATGCATTATTTATTGGCTAAAGTATTGCCCTACTATGTACTATATTTTTGCTGTACATGTATTAATTAAATAGTAGGTATCTGTAATAGAACAGCCCAATTATATAACGAACTTTTACTCGTTTATTATTAAGCAACATGTCATGCTAACTTCTAATAATTAAAATAAATAGATTTCTGCGGGAAATGTGTACATATCGCTGACGCCTAG